AAACATGTAATACACATGACTAATAAAGAATAAACCTAACAATTCCCCCCGATAAGCTACCGTTTTTACAGGTAACCTAAAATTAAAAAACTGATGCATCCCTTGAAGCACCAGGTGATTAGGGAGCATCCATAATTGGGCAACGCCCCCATCCCCAGAAAAATCACCCAACCCTGGAGTACATGTGCAAAAACCACATTAGTTCAGGTAAAAAAAAAAACCTTGCTCTAGCTCAAGGTACTGAACGCGATCTCTCAGGTGGGTCGTCTGTGTGCGCTTGCAGAAAGGACCCTAGTGTATCACAAGTCTAAAAAAAAAACAACCCAAAAAGTGATTGTGCATGATAAAAAAAAAACGAGCCTAAAAGCATAGCGTTCAAAATCTCCTCTGACATCATGGAATAGTGTCAGTGGCATCTGGTAGGTGGCTGTTGCACCCAATTTGCTACCATAAAGAGAGCCAGTGGCTCTATCTATGCATCAGAGGATGAGAGCACGAATACTGCGCAACAGTACACACAAACTGCTATTACAGCAGCTACAATAATGGTTCAAGTGAATATACTCACGAAAAGGTTTCCTGAGTTTCCAAACCGTGACTCAAACATATTTGATAATGGCTCATCAATTCCTGAGTGTGATTCAAGCTGAGATAAGTCCAACAAGTTAAGCCTGAATAGACCATTTAAGACCCCCTTGCTACTGACAATTATCAAGAGGGTTACTTCCACAGTAATGCATATTTTCCCTTAAGGCCAGTCACTGTGAGTAAATGGGGATTAACCTTTATCAAGCTGTGGTCTGACGAGGTGTTCAGCCTGGCACATAGCAGCCCAATGTTCTGCTCCTGTATCTGTTTTAACTTGCCAGTTTGTGGCGCTGTGTACCCCCCGGGTCTAGTGTTCCAGCCCACATAGCTCCACCTAGGGGAACCATTGTCCCCCATATGTAGCTCCCCATCTGAAACGGCACATGAAAACATCATACACCCGCCAGGATTCACCCCACAATCTATGACATTGCAGAGATCAAACTGAAAAGTTACTGAACTCCCCAGAGTGTGTAACTTAACTCCACACCCCTATATTCCCTGACACATGGACCAGAGATTATCTGTGGTGTATGGTTGTCGTGTTTTATTCTATGTACAGCAGCATCAACATACCTGAAGGTCTCCCGCTTTATACTCACCCTGGATCCCCATGTCACAGTGATGAGGTTCTTGACCAGGGCCCCTCCGTTTGCCCTCCCTTCACAGTGCGTCAACATCCTGATTTGTCACATTCTCCCTAATATACCCCAGGTGCTCTCTGATTTCTCTGAGGTTCCTTTCCGAGGGCGGCTCACTTTTCCTGCAATGTGTTTTATGCAAAGGCTTGCTCACCTTAGTTTGGTCCTCGTCCAACCAAACCTGTACTTTCAAGTGGGGGTGGTGGTTTGACAGGACCCAAATGCAGACACAAAAGCTTAAGGTGGTTACTTAAAGGTTTAATAACAAAAGGGTAACAGAAGCAAAAATTCCAAAACATAAATCCTTAGAATCCACAAAAATAGGGAACCAGGAATACTTACAAGGGGGCAAAGAATTTACAACAATCCGTCAAAGAGTGACTGAATGGGAGATTATATGGGAGAAAGAAACAAAGACCAGGCTAATTAGCAGGTTGGGAGCAGGTGTGAACAGGGGCAAGAAGGGAGCTAGGGAAAAGAAGACCGACACAAGACGGCAAACAGGAAATATTTAAGAACTCAAATACAAAACTTGAACAAAACCAACACCATAACACTCATACTGTGAGGTTGGACACTTTGAAATGTCCTATCCACCTGGGGTCCTTGCAAGCCCTCTGGAAAACCTGTATATCCAGTCTCCAGAGGCCAGCTGTTCGGGGGTCTCTCCCACCGTTTCTCTGGACTAGGCTTCCTTTACATTGTTGGACAAAAGTCTGACAGCAGACTGCAACTGTTGATCATAGTCCATTACTTCCTCCCTGTGCCTATCTAGTGTGGGGGTAGTCCTGGACTGCATGGAGGAGGTCAATGGAAAGGGCATTTTCTTTCCTGTCAGAAGCTCATGAGGGGGTCAATCCCATGCGCTCTGTGGGTGATGATTGTATGAAAAGCATCACTAAGGGGGATGGTCCATCCAAGTCATTTTTGTGTCAGCACAAAATTTTGCTAATTGTTCTTGGTGCGATTCACTTTTTCAACTTGCCCTTAAGAGGCTGGATGGTAGGCTGCTCCGAATCCATGTCTGATTCCAATATCGTTCTCCACTTGTCTTGAGGTATCTGATGTGAAATGTGTCCCATTATCCGCAGACTGATTTCCAATAAGGCATATTATCACTGCAACAATTTTTTTTCAGACTTAAAAAAGGACTGAGTAAACACCATCAGGACAAAAACTTGCTGTATATGGCCTTATTCTAACATGAACATGTGACTTAAGGTGTTTCGCCTATAGGCATAATAAAAGCTACTGTAACAACCTCAGAAACTTGGACCCAATATTCACATATTGTGGATTCACATTTCAACAAGCTTTATTTAGAACAAATAACTCAGCAGGGCAGGTGATCGGCATCGGGGCGGGTAACTGGATTCACTGCAGAGGTAGAAAACACAGGTCAGTGACTGGAATGTCAGAAAAATGTCAGAGAGCTGGCCAGGCAGGGATCAATTTGCATCAAAGGTTGGCTGAAAAAAGGTCACAAAATCAGTTCAGGGATGATCTACACCAGTGACTCTAGAAATTGTGGTGTTGAGCCTATTTGCGGTTTCTGGTTAACAACTATCATGTTTTAAGATCCTCTGTAGAAACTACACCAAAAATAACGACAAGGCATGTATATATGTTTAAAGACAAAGAGCATCACTTAGAAATACACAAGACCAATTACAATAGCTTTTGATGCTGTTTTTATTAATGCTACACCAATGGATCATATCTATAAGAAATATTTGTATTCCAATAAATACCCAAATAGTTCGGGAACCTCTGATCTAAACTAATCACACTGGGGCACAAAAGCGCTTGTACTTCCTGCAGAGGATGAGGAGATCCCACCTGCCCTCACCCATCCTCACGAACCTCTACAGAAGCACCATAGAAAGCATTCTGACCAGCTGTCTCCCCGTGTGGTGTGGAGGTTGTAGCGCCACAGATTGGAAGAAGGTGAGGAGAGTGGTGAGAAGAGCAGAGAAGAACATCGGGGCTCCTCTTCCCTCTATTAAAGATATTTTATCCCAGCGCTGCGTGTCCCGAGCCCGTAACATCATCAATGACCCCTCACACCCCCACCATGGACTGTTCTTCCTGCTGCCCTCTGGGAAGAGGCTTCGAAACATTGGATGCAGGTCCAGCAGATTCCAAAACAGCTTCTTCTCCACTGCCATCAGACAGCTAAATTGTTGACAAAACTCTAAATCATGTCACAGACCCAGCATGAAACTGACCATGTCATTGCATTTTTTGCACCATGTCTTTTCTCTCACAATGTTTACATTTGTTCACTGCTGCACTTTAAGAAAATTGAAATGCATGAGAGATCTACAAAACAAAATGTTGTTTTGTATACACTCTGTGTATACAAAATGACAATAAATGTTTTCTAAGTCTCTAAGTCTAAGAAATTAGACTTTGACATAGGGGAAAAAATACATGTTTTCCAAATAAATCCCAGAAGATCAGGATTTTCTATAGCCCTTCCTAATAAATGTGTACACACATGTATACCTATATTCGATTTAAAGTAATAATTCATGGTTCTGTATAATAACATTTAGGATGAGTGAGGCAGTTGTTCTTTATCTTTAGTTAAATAAAAACTCCTGGAATTCTTTCAGAGAAACATTTTCCCTTTTCGCCCAAACCACACAACTCGTTCTAAAAATAGCATAAATTGTGTATTTACTATTTTAGTGTTTGAATTTTAATAATTTTTCTATTGTTGAGATCAGTTCAGGGTTAATTACACCTATAATTAAAATCTTTAGTTAGACTAGTCTACTTGAGGGTATCACTGCTGCCCCCCTCTGGTTTAAAGCAGAGCTCCTTGTTCTGAAGGTGGTTCTGATCGTCAAATATTCTAAATAAAAGGTGCTAAACTGCATTGGACCAATCTTCTTTTTTCTTTGTATGTGCAATAAGTCGGCGTATTTTGGGTGATATACAAAGATGCTGCGCAAATGCGAACCAGTTTGCGTCCACCAAAAAGAAACAAAAACTGTAGCCGCAAATAGGTTTCCAATTTAGAAAATCACTTAACACTTGGTCACAGTTGCATTTGCAAATAACCATTTGCATATCCTCTACCCATTAATTTGTGTAATTTGATAATTGGAATATGATCTGCCCACGCAAAAGAACGGCTTGTGCTTGCTTCCTGATGAATTGTGAAATCAAATCCCTTTGCACCATCTTTAAAGATCTGCTCTGCACATACAAACCAGTTTGCACCTGTTATTTGACATGCAAATCTGTTGAAGATCAGGCCCTTTGTCTTCCAGGCCTCTCTACTAGATCTGCTTGTACCGACAAATGGTAATGAAACATTTATTCTAGAATTAATGCATGCACTGAGCCAAAAGATAAAGGCTTATCACTCCCAAATAAACTCATAGAACTTTTCTTTTTAAGGTTTAAACCAGAAAATGTAATTTTGAACACCATAAGATAGTATATGAATCTTCAAAAGTATGAAATCATTGAGGAAACTTGTGCTGGGAATAGGTGTACAGTGAAGTTATGTTTTTACAGCTTTTTAAATGGGTCTAAAAAAATAGGTGAACGTTATTTCTCTAAAGTTTCCCCGACTATTTTGACTTTCATATATCCATCCCTCTTCTTCTGCATGTCTTCATGGTGGCTTATTTCCAGCAATCTAAGAGCGAAAGGTGGGTACACCCTGGAAGATTGTTAGCCCATGAAGTACTGAAGTATTTTGACTTCATTTTTTTCATATTCTATTCTTATATTTAACAAGACAACAAAAGCATATGGAAGTGGAAAGATAACTTTTATTTGCACAGATCTACAATACATACGTTTAACATTTCAAATTCTTGTGTTTTACAACAAATGGCATCTGTTTTTCCTAGACTATATAATCCATGCTTTTTAGACAATAAAGTGAACCTGGTATTAAGTCCAGTTCAGTTTTCTAAAACAAAATTTAAGCCATGCAAAAAGTTAGCAAATAATGTCAACATTATAAATGTTTAAGTCAGGTAAATCCATAATATCCACAGAAATAGACAGAAAAGAAATCTAGTCCATATCTATTTGTGTACTTTAACTTACAAAAAAAGGGACAAATAATATATTTTGTGATTTCCCTTTGCTTATTGATCAGGAAAAAACGTATTACTTTAATTCCTACAATCAAAACATCTTTACACTGGTGTACTTATTATCAATTAACAAACAATTTAAAAACAAACTCTAGGAATAAATGCTGCCGATTAATGCTGAAAGTTTAATAAAACAACCACTGGGGCTGCTGTAAAATCAGTATCCTACAGTAAAAGCTCATAAATGAGGAATTCATACATAGACAAATGCTCACTTAAAGTTTTTGTCACAGCATCTTCTTTTTTTTTAGCTTTCGCCCAAGACTAAATTCAAAACTTACAAACACATTTATTGGGATTAATTGTTTCACATTTTTGCTCTTCCACGCAGTATTGCTTCTTTTGTTATTGTTACATTTTAGTAGCCTGACCAGCCAGACTGAATTACACAAAGCGTCATTCATTCTGGATTTGGCCGGACCAATCACAGCAAGGGAGGTTGGACTTTACGATGCATGACTCTCAGTGGCAGAATTACCCATAAGGCAGCAGCGCATGTCTGCTAGCATAACAAAAAGCTGGCGGCCGCAACATAGTAAATGCAACAAAAAGTAAAGCAGACCTTATATGCTCAGATTATTTAGGTTCAATTGGCAGAAAATCATTCAATGGAGAAATTCTTTGACAGCTTGATATGTTTTACAGACTATGAAATTACAAAAACCTAATGTGTCCCTTGTAGGTTTTGAATCACATCTGTAGTTATCTGAATGGTTCTAACATGATGGGGCTAACCCTGTTAGTCCAGCCACTCTAATCAAGCTTTATAAGCCCTTTACCAGACTGACACACCATGTATACGTCGTATCAGTCCAGTTGGCCAGGCTATAATTTTTGATTTTACAGTAGTAGCGGTTAAAAAATTCCCCATGATAGGTCTTTGACTCATCCTTGGCAGGTTCTTCGCTGGTACCCAGCAGATCCGTGAGGGTAAATCCCCTGTGATGATGCTGTCAGTCAGGCAATACCCCTAGCAGCCAGATTGTATCCCTGAAATACCCTATATTTCAATAAATGGCTGCAATTACAGTAAACATTGACACTTGCAGCAGAAAGAGGGGAGCCACTCCAGCGGCTGGAATTTGGAGGGAAGTTGGCAAAAATCAGAGGCCATTCGGCTGTCTTTTGGCCTAAAGGGGAACTTTTAAACCGCTACATCTGTACATATGTAGACAAACAAAAATAGCCCAAAATTATCCTTTAATCCAGCGAAGGCTTAAATGTCCTGAGCTGTAATTGTTCTTAACACTGTGAAACAGTTTTGACTGAACACCAAACATTTTCCTAAATGAGAAATGTACCCTAGTTTTAAGAAGTAACCCCCCCAAAAATATCTGGAAAAATAGTTATTACTATTTGTATTTACGGCAGACTTAAAATAAAAGCAGAACTATTTCAGACCTAATAAAGCAACAAACAAGTACCTTTAATGTGCATGAAAAATACAAAGTAAAAAAAGTAAAGTCTCTCCTACCCTTGAAAGTTATTAAATAAAAAATGCACAGAAACAAATTTCCATAATAAATGGTCACATTTTAATACTGAATCCTGTGTTGATTGTTTGTCATCAAAAATACTGCAGCAACTTGAAGAATCCATTGAAAATCAGGACTGACTGGGATATGAATTCATTCAAATGGCTTTATTGAAAAGGTATATCTTTTCAGATTTTCTTAATTAATTTTTTTGGATGGAAAGCGAAACGTCTTCAAACTTGGAAACAAAGTCCAGTGGATTGTTTTAAATTTTTTTTTTTTTTTGGAATCTTAATGCATTTTTGCTTAGATTCTTTACTTTAAGTCAGAGTAATGCTTTCATATTTGTCCCGAACGTTGTTTTCCTGTTTCTGAGGCTCCGGTTGGTGCAAATCAATGAGGAGGAAGTAAATCCCAGCACCAACAGCTCCACCAACCATGGGTCCTACTACAGGGATCCACCACCAGCAGCCCCCGGCTCTGCACACAACAATGATAGGACAGATTATTACAGCCACACATGAACCAGCATATGCTTTCTTTACTGATCTATGCTATGCTAAAAATACTCCAAATGGTAAACATTTTGCAAACTCTATCCCTGTGAAAAGTTTCTTTGCCATTTTGCAACTTATACCAAAAAACTTTTAAAGTATAAAGCAGGCTATTACTCTGACAAATACTGTTGGCAATCCAAGAGAGGTCAACCCTCTAACTCAGGAGTCAGCAACCCAAACTGCTCAAAGAGCCATATTGGACCAAAAAAAAAAAAAAACATAAAACAAATCTCTCTGGAGCCGCAAAAATATACAAGTCTTCTATAAACCTCGCATGGCAATATGGGCTCTATGTGTATTATCCTACTATAGAAAAGGACTATGTGGGCCTAAATATATAATAAGCATCCATCCATCCATCCATCTTCCTCCGCTTATCCGGGGTCGGGTCGCGGGGGCAGCAGCTTAAGAAGGGAGGCCCAGACTTCCCTCTCCCCAGCCACTTCTTCCAGCTCTTCAGGAGGAACCCCAAGGCGTTCCCAGGCCAGCCGAGAAACATAGTCTCTCCAGCGTGTCCTGGGTCTTCCCCGGGGCCTCCCCCCGGTGGGACGTGCCCGGAACACCTCACCAGGGAGGCGTCCAGGAGGCATCCTAAACAGATGCCCAAGCCACCTCAACTGGCTCCTCTCAACGTGGAGGAGCAGCGGCTCTACTCCGAGTCCCTCCCGGATGACCGAGCTTCTCACCCTATCTCTAAGGGAGAGCCCAGCCACCCTACGGAGGAAACCCATTTCGGCCGCTTGTATCCGCAATCTCGTTCTTTCGGTCATGACCCAGAGTTCATGACCATAGATGAGGGTAGGAACGTAGATCGACCGGTAAATCGAGAGCTTCGCTTTTTGACTCAGCTCTCTCTTCACCATGACGGACCGGTACAGCGCCCGCTTCACGGCAGACGCTGCACCAATCCGCCTGCCGATCTCCCGCTCCCTTCTTCCCTCATTCGTGAACAAGATCCCAAGATACTTAAACTGCTCCACTTGGGGCAGGACACCCCCCCTGACCCGGAGAAGGCACTCTACCCTTTTCCGGCTCAAGACTATGGCCTCGGATTTGGAGGCACTGATCCCCATCCCGGCCGCTTCACACTCGGCTGCGAACCGATCCAGCGAGAGCTGCAGATCACGACCTGATGAAGCCAACAGGACCACATCATCTGCGAAAAGCAGAGACGCAATCCTAAGGCCACCAAAACGGATCCCCTCAACACCTTGGCTGCGCCTAGAAATTCTGTCCATGAAGGTAATGAACAGAATCGGTGACAAAGGGCAGCCCTGGCGGAGTCCAACTCTCACCGGAAACGAGCCCGACTTACTGCCGGCAATGCGGACCAGACTCTGACACCGGTCATACAGGGACCTGACAGCCCGTATCAAAGGGCCCGGCACCCCGTACTCCCGGAGAACCCCCCACAGGGCCCCCCGAGGGACACGGTCGAACGCCTTCTCCAAGTCCACAAAGCACATGTAGACTGGTTGGGCGAACTCCCATGCACCCTCCAGGACCCTGAGGATATAGAGCTGGTCCAGCGTTCCACGACCAGGACGGAAACCACACTGCTCTTCCTGAATCCGAGGTTCGACTATCCGACGGACCCTCCGCTCCAGCACCCCCGAATAGACCTTGCCGGGGAGGCTTAAGAGTGTGACTCCCCTGTAATTGGAGCACACCCTCCGGTCCCCCTTTTTGAATAGGGGGACCACCACCCCAGTCTGCCAATCCAGGGGGACTGCCCCCGATGTCCATGCAATGTTGAAGAGTCGCGTCAGCCAACACAACCCTACAACATCCAGGACCTTGAGGAACTCCGGGCGGATCTCATCCACCCCCGGGGCCCTGCCACCGAGGAGCTTTTTAACCACCACGGCGACCTCGCCCACAGAGATTGGAGAGCCCAGTCAAGAGTCCCCAGGCCCAGCTTCCTCAATGGAAGACATGTTGGTGGGATTGAGGAGGTCTTCGAAGTATTCCGCCCACCGACCCACAACGTCCCGAGTCGAGGTCAGCAGCACACCATCCCCACTATAAACAGTGTTGGTGCTGCACCGCTTTCCCCTCCTGAGACGCCGGATGGCGGACCAGAATCGCTTCGGAGCCGTGCGGAAGTCTTTCTCCATGGCCTCTCCAAACTCCTCCCACACCCGAGTTTTTGCCTCAGCAACCATCCGAGCCGCATGCCGCTTCGCCCGCCGGTACCCATCAGCTGATTCCGGAGTCCCACAGGCCAAAAAGGCCCAATAGGCCTTCTTCTTCAACCTGACAGCATCCCTCACCGGAGGTGTCCACCAACGGGTTCGAGGGTTGCCGCCACGATAGGCACCGACAACCTTGCGGCCGCAGCTCAGATAAGCCGCCTCAACAATGGAGGAACGGAACATGGTCCACTCGGACTCAATGTCCCCCACCTCCCCCGGGATGTGTTCGAAGTTCTGCCGGAGATGGGAGTTAAAGCTCCGCCTAACAGGGGACTCGGCCAGACGTTCCCAGCAGACCCTCACAACACGTTTGGGCCAGCCAGGTCTGACCGGCATCCTCCCCCACCACCGGAGCCAACTCACCACCAGGTAGTGGTCAGTGGAAAGCTCAGCACCTCTCTTCACCCGAGTGTCCAAGACATACGGCCGCAAGTCCGATGAAACGATGACAAAGTCGATCATCGAACTGCGGCCTAGGGTGTCCTGGTGCCATGTGCACATATGGACACCCTTATGCTTGAACATGGTGTTCGTTATGGACAATCCATGACGAGCACAGAAGTCCAACAACAGAACACCACTCGAGTTCAGATCAGGGCGGCCATTCCTCCCAACCATGCCCCTCCAGGTCTCACTGTCATTATATAATAAGCATCCATGATTAAATGTTAGTCCTGGAGCAAATGTCACATAGTAGCATGAGGAGAGGGAAGGGCAGTGAACGCTCCCATTGCGCGGGTTAAATTTTGATGCATTGGTAAAATGATAGAAACACGATAAAGGAATCTTTCTATGGTGGACGTGTTTCTGTTGGGAGGAGTTGATTGAGTCATGTGGAACCAAGCAGGAAATGACATCCATCAGAGTAGAGCTCTCTAACCCCGAAATCACACATGCATCCGTCACCATGCAGCGTTCCTTGGTGTGATTTATGTTTTTAGGATTTGGGGAAAAAAAGGAAGAAAGTTCACACGCCTGCATCAACGGGCTACCTGTCTGAGCTGTTGACGTTTTTTTTCCTGCTTGAAACAAAACTAGCAGCAGTAGTGGAGTTTGGAGATGCAATCCACTTCTTTCCGTAAAAATTCAAAAAATATCCACTGGACTTGGTTTTCAAGATTTGAAGACGTTTCGCCACCTCTCCAGGAAGCTTTCTCAATTCAAATGTCTGGATCCGCAGTGAGTTTGAGTCTTATATAGACAACGCCTTGTATCGCTTGGAAACATGCAATGGTAACCGATGAATGGGTCGTTAGTTCCATCGTTAGCCTGTAATATCTGAACCTGTCTATGATTCTAGGGGTCGGTCGTTAAAGGGGGGATTGCCATTAAGGGGGGGGGATTGTCTCCTGTAATACCTGAAACCTGTCTATGATTGTTAAGGGTTGGTCGTTAAGGAGGTATTGTTCACCGGCTGGAGCGGGTAGGTCCCTCGTTCCTCTGTGATGGGGTGGGGGGTTTGGTGATATCTGGAAGGGATCATGTCTATGATTGAATTGTATGTTTTTGGAAGCTGGAATCTGAGTCCACCACCTCTGTTTAAAGTTGGTTTTTCTCTCTTAACATAGATGGCTTCCTTCACGCCCCTCTCAAACCATCTATTTTCTTTATCCAGAATATGGACATTCTGGTCCTCTGGTCAAATCTTGAAAACCAAGTCCAGTGGATATTTTTTGAATTTTTACGGAATGACTATGACCTGGATGACTGAGAACCTTCATCAGCATACAATCCACTTCTTAAATCTATCTTTGCTCTCCTCTAATTTATCCAGAAGTTCTGCAATCGCATTCTTTCTCTCACAAACAACATTGTGATCGGCTGCAAATTTAGCCTTCCCTGGAAATGCCTTTCTAAATGACTATTTTTATTATTTGAAAAATGTTCATGCCAAAGCAAAAATGGTGGCAATCCTTCCGCATTGTAAAGGAAAGCAAATAATTTGGTCCATTCTTCTTTGAATCCCCTGTTTTCATCAGGTATCTTCCTTTTTATCCCTTTGGGATAAAATTATTGGATTTCTTTGCCTGGCACTGTGCTGCGCTGACACGTGTTGCAGGCTTTGACCACTGATATCTATGACACACATTTCCGCTGAAATAAATGTTTACATATATTGTTTAAATGTATTTTTTATACAAATGTTTACAGCATTGGGAAACCTTACTACCGTCTGTTTGAGCTCCCACACACCATATTAAAATAAACAAACCAAAAAAATCTATTTTTCATACATTTATGAAAAAGCTCCAGGGAGCCTCAAGGGGGGCGCTAAAGAGTTGCAATTGGCTCTAGAGTCACGGGTTGCCGACTCCTGCTCTAACTCATTGAGTTAAAGGGATTTAACTACTTGCTTTATAAAAATGCATGGAATCCAGCGATCAGTTATGCATGTAGCTTTTACAAACATATAAAATGTGTAACAAAAAACAAAATGTTTATTTGAGAAGCATAGGCACTTCCACCATGCACTCCAAAAAGCAAACCAGGGGCTTAGTAAATATCATTATGTTAGTATGTCAAATTACCTTGATACAATCTTTGAATATTATTAAGGTGCTTATTGAATTTGGATATATTAAAATAAATGTCTAAAACTTTACCAGATATTTAAGTTTACGGCATTTCTTTTGCCCTTGTTTTTAATTAATTTTCAGAATAACTTTAGTATTTTATTTAGAATACCCATTTTTACAGTATTTAATAGTTGTGAAATTAAATCAAAATAATAATATTATTTTTTTGTTGGTACTTTTTCCTTCAAGTTGCTAAGGGGACTTTAAAGGGGTGCCAAAGTGTTGCCCACGGGTGCCATCTTCTGAAAACAGAACTCCCCAGTGGTCTAAGTTTGAAATGTTATTTGGTCCTGTTGCTCTTCTTATTTAATAACACATGCATCTATAGAGATTTCAAAAAAGATATCTAAGAGAAAATTTAAAAAAAAAATTGAGACGGGTGCTGGCTTGCTACATAATGTCACTGACAGATTTTACATCTTGTCTGCCATGTGGGGGGAAAGGGGAAGGAATGAAGCTTGGGTGACTATAGGCAAATGGCTTGGTGTGTTCCTAGTTCTCCCTCAAAGTCTTCTGTGGAGGAGAGATGGTTATAAGTATCTGTGTTTTAGGGCATAAACTATGGTACACTGGAAAAATGTTGAGCAAAAATCAAGTATAAACTTCCTCAAAGGAGGTGTTGTTCAGATAGAAGTTAATGCCATTTAAACTGAAATGGGTCTAAGATACCTCAATATAAGGGTTTATAGTATCAAGATAAATTAAGATTTTTGACCCCACCTTCTCATTATCTTATCCCAGATAACAGTGTAGCCCTTAGAAGCTCTGTCTGTCCGTCATGTGTCCTCATTCTGATTCACTTTAAACGTATTATTTGAGCCCGACGGAGATTACTGAGGACGGCAGATCAGTGTCATCACCTGAGCCTTTAATGGAGGTAAAAGGATTGATGAACAAATGTAAACAGTTGGGCTGAGCAGACTTTGTCTCCTCTGTGGGTAGTCAGGAACCTGAAGAAGGGAGACGTCTGGATTATAGTCTTAAATCTAAGATGATCAGCTCAGGGGATTGACGCTCTCTAGGTTACAACTATTTTATGAGCACATCCTGAAAATACTATACATTAACATACATTGTTTTGGTAGGAAGTGATTCACATATTGTATCTGTTAATCTTAAGGTAGTTGAAGGACCAATTCAGGAAAAATATCTTTTAAATTAAGTAGTTAGATTTCAATTTATATAGAATCTTACCAAAAAAGCAACTGTTTTTACACATCCTCTTATTAACTGATCATCCCTTTTCCTCCAGCCTGCACTGGTATGGACTCGCCAAAGGCACTTTTATTATCCAAGCAGTGTTTTGTTCTCAGTTTGACAACCATAACAACCACTCTCAATGCATTTAAGCAGTGACATGCACAGACGCTTTCAAGGGCAGGGGTTAAAAAGATTGGTACGGGGGGGTCAAGGATGACGGCCAATGAGGGCAAAGGCTCAAACAGCATGTATTTACCAACGATCAAACCAGGCAACCTGACAAGAGCAACCAGAGGAATGTATCCCAGCCTTCTATTGATCATACAATATTGGCTCTGAATTGGAAAGACTCTGTTTAGTAAAACTATAGTTAAAAAAGAGATCACCAGCTTTTACTTTTTTATTTCTAGGTAATTTTTCGTAAAAGTTTAAGGTCAGTTAAGCAAAAATCTGAAAAAATCTTCAAGGCCAAGTGGGATAAGACAAGTAGTGCTGAGAATAAATTGTGAATGTTTGTGTTTGCTTGAAGCAGGAGATGAGAAACTGCCATGTTGTTGAATGCATATGTAATGCCAGCAGATGGCAACAGTCTACAACGATGGGGCTTGGTGCAAAAATTCTTTTCATTCTCAAAAAGGACTAAGCACATACTACCAGGAGAAAAGCTTTCTGTATATGGCTTTATTTTAAGATGAATATATTTGGTTTTTTTTATAGGCATAGTACATGACAAACACAATGTGTATTAATGGCTGCATATTCCAGCAAATAGAGAAAAATATTTAATAACTGCTGGGATTTGAAATATTAATTATCATTAAATAGCACTGAATTAAAACATATCTTTTAAAAGACAACTCTATGGGTTTGATTGTTCTTAGGGAATCAATTTAGGTTATTCCATTATTGTAGATGTTCAAGCACTGTTTGCAGAAATGTTGGAATGAACATGTTTTAAAAAAACTGTTTGAAGAGTTCATCTCATAGAGCAAAAATAATCAGTTTTTTTTTTAAAGTGGTCTTGGTTTGAATTTATACAAATAATTTAAAGTTATTATACAATTAATAGACAATTAATTAATTAATTTTCTTTTTCATGTCCTAGTGCCCATAAACCTTAGCCTGGGTGCCATTCCGAACTTAGTCCCGCCCACAACGTTTGAGGTCGGGAAGTTCGGTCTGGCATTGCTTAATAGTAGCGCGAGTATGCTCGCACAATATCTGGCGGGCCAATCAAATTGTCAGGGCGGCCTTTATCAGATGATGGACAGATGATCAACAGTAACGTAATCAACCACGTCACCAAAGCACGCTTGGGTGACAACAACAATGGCTGCCACTGGAGAGTTGAGGTGTGTAGATTCTGCTATAAGGTCTGTTCTAGAAGATATCGACAGCAAATTAATTTTAAAAGAGGAACAGAGAAACGCGATCAAGGCTCATCTTCTTATTCTAGGCGTGCAACTGCACGCTTTTATTTTTGTTGACAACAACTATGCGTTGCTTAACATCCGTCACGCACTCCGTTGCTCTTATTGGTTGTAGGTCTATCCAATTGAGTGCAGAGGCATTTTTTTTCCTGGTTCGTTCGAAACACGCCCCATAATCACAGTATCAGCAGTATCAGACTCATATTCTGACTAGAATTGAGTAGGACTATGTCAGGCTACATAAACCTTATCTTTACACCTGCTTCTGAGGGAGTGTTGTTAATGGAGGAATCTGTAGGTGCATCTTTAGTTACAAAGCTTTTGAAATAGAAAACATCACTTAATTAAGCTGTTTATGTACAAAATGTGATCACAGTGTGTACAGCAAATGGAATTACAATCATGAGGTCTATTTTTGAGGCTTAGATGATTATTTTGATAACTTAAAAGGAAAATAATAGTAGCTGCATGCAGCTTTGAGGTTTAAGCGTGGGAGACATGCAGTGGTTCTATTTTGGCATTGAACTTTTTAAATATTTCATATTTATATGTGGGAAAGCTGTTCTTGTTAACTCAAGTCTCAAAGTCATTTTTAAAACATGTATTGTGTTTAAAATATTAATTCATATGAATTGGTGCTGGAAGTGCTACTCTTCATGGGGAAGGAAAAAGAGCATTTTTCTATAAGTTTCCAATGAAATAAAACATATACTTACCTGAACACATCAGTGCCCCACCCAGCCACAGCGGTGAAGAATCGTGGGCCAAGGTCTCGTGCAGGGTTTATGGGATAGCCGCAGTTCAGACCCATAGAAACTCCGATGGCCATTATGATCAAGCCAATGCAGAGTGGTTCCATGCCTTTTGGGGCGCCGATGTTTTTCCTGTCAGTGATGGCCAGGATGCACAAAATCAGAGCACCAGTTGCTATGACCTTCAAAGCAGAATCAAAGGATCGTTAAAAAAATGTTCTTAGAATTTAGGGAACATTAGTAAAAGAAAAGATATTTGGATCTATTGATATCTTTGAAGTGTTTGACAAGGGCAGTGGCCCTTGTGGCCAACCCACCCTCTAAGCTTGTTTTAGCTATTTAATGTGCTTTTTGACAGGATGTTTTTGAGTCCTCTCCTCTGCTGCGATGACCTACGCCCTGTGTTTCTCTAAGCCTATTAAGGGGTCTCTATTCCTGTTTCACACTGCATAAGACAGCTTAACTTTGGTTACATATATATATATATATATATATATATATATATATATATATATATATATATATATATATATATATATATATATATATATATATATATATATATATATATATATATATGAAACGGTTCTATCTGTCCCTGTGCAAATGTGTTTGGTTGACTTTTAAGCTTAGATTCCAATATCTGTGCAGTGAGGGGACTCCAAATCTGACATCTGCGACGATGGTACTGCTACTGAAACTCTTTAAAAATGTAATTAGCACACAGAACAGCAGTAAGAAGTTCGGCATCCATTCTTTGCATGCTTTGTGAGTCAATTGTCGCGGTTGCTAGATCAGAGAGCTCACGCTGATTGAAGTGCCGTGACTGCTGGAGAAGGCTAGACCTGTTCTATTTTGGAGCTGAACTCTTCCGGCTTCCTTATTTTCAAAGCCTTCGAAGAACCCAGTGCAGATAGGCCGGGTTCTTCAGGAGACTCAACCACCAAAAGTGAAGACAGCATTTGTGTGTCTCTTTGATGCCCTGCGTCACATCTCGGATTTACCCCACCTTTCACCCATAGACTGTCTGAGATAGACACCAGTCCCACCGTGACCCTGACAGAATAAGCGGGAGAAGATTGATGGATAGATGTAAACACATGCAATTTTCATATGATTTTTAATATTACTTAGCATTTTTATGTTTTATTATTCTGCATTTCTTTCTTTTTTTTGACGAGGTCCCCACTTTTATATGTAGTCAATGCTGAGAGATCCAGGACCCCTCTTGGCTATGTCTTTAAAAAGTAATCAAAAGCTAGATTTTCAGTTATATTATGGTAACACAGTTTAAAAGTAAAATGAAATATTTATTTTATTTTTTATTTTTTTCAAAATGACCAGAAACAGAAGTCCCCCAAATGGCAGGTGAGTAAATAACAGCCCACTTGTGGGAATTTTGGCTGGTACTGGTCTGTGCTTAGAGTGTTAAACATAACCATGTAAAAAATTAAAAGCTGTTCAGCAGACAGTTTATATCAAATAAAAAAAAGATTTAGTGTTTGTAAAAATACCAGCAAAGCTTTATTTAATGGTTTTTATGACAGTTTCTTGACTTCCATTATTCCCTGTAATAAAAATATATTTCTCAAGTGCAGATTCTAAAAAGAAATACAAGATTAATTTGCTAAATAATACAAAAATTCACCAATAATATGAAAATAGAAATAAAGATTTGACTGTCTAATCTTAAGGAACCTTTTTCTTTAAAAATGAAGCATCTGTTGCAGCACGAGAACATGATTGAAAACACTAATACCTTTTTTTGTTCTATGTCTGTAAAAATAAGGGTTCATAAAGTGATCTGCACTGATAGCTCACATAATTACTCATGCCTTTCAAATGCTCAACCCTCTCCAGCTCCCAATTGTCACTAATCTCATCCACCTGCAGGTTTCCCTTATATTGGGCTCAGGTCCAGCTATCAGGGTGGATCATTGTTTGTTCCCTGTTTGATTTCTGTTTCTCCGGTCAGTCTGTTTTGTTAATTTTAGTTAGTTCCAGGGTTATTGTCCCTTTTCCTGTCAGGAGTTTATTCTGAAGCCAGTGTCCTCAGGCGAGTTATTTCTCTAACCAGTGGTGAGAGCGTATCAGCATTTCCCTAGTGATTCTGTTTTCCTGATTCCGTTCCCTTTCATCCAGTGGCCCTGTCTGGTCTGCCCGCCTGAATCTCTGTTAGACTCCTGCTGGATTTTGCCTCCAATGTGCGTTTCTGTCAGAGCTGGAAGCTCGACACACAGGACTTTGAACCTGCCTTTGCACTCTGATGGATTCCTGGAACATGGATCTGCTGTTTCTGAGTGGACTATACTGTACTGTTAAACCAGGTAAGAGACTCACTCTAATTATCATCTTCTGTTCAGATGATCGTGGTCACTTACCTGTGTTTCTCTCTACAGAATCAGTGATGGGTTGCGCCCCACACCTGCAGTCGCTGCGGTTGCAGTTCTTCAGCAACGTGCTTCTGTTTTCGTTTAATAATCATTATGAACTTTCCTATTGGCTGTCTCACCTGGAATACTGGGTCTATCTGTCCTGTTTTATGACAGTTTAATAATGAGTCATAATGACAAGAAAAGCATATTTTGCTAAAGTTTTGACCTGCAAATGATATGGGTCTGTGTTTACAAAGATTTTCAGAGTCCTCTCAGAAAGCTTCTAAAATAGTGTAAAAAACATTATGCTAAGGAAAATACCATAAGAGTGATTCAGATTGTTGCTCAGAGGGTCAAAAAATGTGTGGTTGACCATTTTGGTAAGTGTGATGCTGTTTACAGTTGTGATTGAATGATGCAAGAAAAAAAAACATAGACTGGATTAAGATAGGTGCATCATTATGATGAAAAGTTGTAACGAAAGAATATATGTCATGCTTTCGCCATAATGGAAATTTAATGTTATTTTGATTTGTGCCTTTATTCTACTTTGCCTACATGTATAAAACAGTTGCGTTTGGCAAAACAATGACCTAAAGAGGTTTAAGAACTAAACTGGAGAGAGAAGCCGTACCTTGTCAACAACCCGGTAAAGATGTGCAAAAGCTTTTAAATGTATATTTACTGCAAAAAGGATCACAGACTGAAAATCATGTGTAACTGGTCAACCATGAGCTTAAGAGATGTTTTTTTTTTTTTTTTTTTACCACTTTTACCATTGCCTTTTGTGTGGTGAGTAACCATTATAACATGAGTAATGTTTATTGATTCATTACAATGACAATCCTGTTTTTTCTGTTTAACATGTTAAGTTACCTTCCTTGGCTGTAGATATAGACCAACCTTAACTGAGTAGCAATTTTTCTAAAATATGTTTAACAGGCCCTCACTGTCATCCCTTAGTCAGAGACAGCTGCAAATGTCTTAACTGCTCTAAGGAGAAAAGGAAATTCAGAATCTTCTTTCTAGAAAAAAAGTTCAATAAGCAGGAGCTTAGAACCAAAGCAGCTCGAGGTCCAGTTTAAGATTTCTACTTTTAGTACTGAGATACTGAGATGAATGACCTCACACATGGCCAAAAGTATCAGCGCACAGTAGTACTGTGCTTGACGAGCCAGCAAATGCATCTGACCTTCACCTCCCAATGTAAACATTGCAATACACCATGGATAGACGGATACATTTTAGAAAATAATTCAAAAAATATAAATTTTTATTCAATCTAATGGTTTTTTGTTTGTTTTTTAGAAGGAGTCCAAAAAATGTATTTGTAGTCATTTATTTCAGTTTTTTGTGTAAGTGCATCTTTCTGGTAAATGGCTTATTATAACTTAAACATTTTAGCTTATTTGTGTCTTTATATCGAGAAGTTACTTTTGAAAAAATGTGTTTTGAATTTCACCTGGTCTACAAACCCATTTAGCAGTGAGAGATGTTTCGCAGGGTAAGATGCAAAAATGTTGGCTGTTGCATTTTCACCAGTAACTTCGAGTTTTCCACCAGTGTAGTCCATCAAAGCATCTGAAGAGGGGGAATTTTAGTTCAGCAAATGTAATGCAAAACCATTTATTATAAAAAAAAATAGACATAATGTGTGATATTTCTTTGCTCTTTGTTTTATTACATATTCTAAATTAAACTCACCATAATATAAACCAAAGACTGCACAGGAACCAACAAATGCTCCAAGGAACTGTGCCACCACATACACTGGGAATTTCTTCAAAGGAAGTTTCCCCAAAATCACCATGGCTATTGAGACAGCAGGGTTCACATGAGCTCCTGGAAAATTAAGCAAAAACAAGGCTAAAATCAATCATCTAGCTTCCCAAGAACGGAAAACCAACACTGCAATCATAAAGTTGATATTTTTTGAGTTCTACTATGATTTAAATCTCACCTCAAGGGTAAATGATCAAATATTATACTCTCCTGAACTGAAATAGAAAATGTGTGTTTGAAGAACTAAGTACTACGTACTTAATGACTTGCAGAACAACCTACAGCAAATGTATTTTCTAAATGCACAGCTTATTTCAGTCAGGCAGCAGGCTGGATGGGGGCTATTGCAATGCATTATTAGGTTTGTACAGTAGGATGATTGCCCTGTCCCATTATCTGATGTGGAGGAACTTTCAGCTGTTTGACAGATGGCCACATATTCTATTTAAGAACAAATTGTCACGATCTTGGCACTAATGGCTGGCTTAATTTGCTCATTTCATTCATCTGTCTAGCTCTGCCCAGTTTTCATCCACTGCTCACCTGATCCACCTGCTCCCGCTTCTATTGAAACTCCTTGGTTCCAGCGACCTGTGCCAGATTTATCTTGAGTCTTAGGTGCTGAGAGTTCTGTAGCATTTATATAGGGTTCTGATTGCCTGAATCTGATCCATTTCTGTATTTGGAACTTTGAGCCTATCTGCCCGCCCCTGTATGATCTGTTTGTCTGGCCTGTCTTTGGACCTCTATTGGATTATTCTGTAGAATGAATCTGGATCTGCCTCTTGATTTCACCCTGTTGGTTATCCTGCCTTCCTTCGTCAGCTTGGATCTTATCTGCTGTCAACTCTGCAGCCTTCTAGGATTCCACATCTGGATCTGGCAGCGTCCGCTGGGCCGCTGGGCACGGACTGAACTTTCAAACCAGGTTAGTGACTCACTTGCTCATAAACATCCTTCGACAGATTATCATATCCTGTGATTCTCTCCGATACACATTCCTGCCCCACACACCCTAGCCGCTGCAGCTGCCACTGCAGATCCATTCTGCTTGTTTCAATAAACACTTTAAGCTATTCTACTATCTATCTTGCCTCTTGCCTCTGTTCTGAGCCTTTACACAAATTGTTAATACAGATCAGTTCGTGGTTGAATAAATGACTCCTAGGTGCCCATATCCAGTATTTTTTTAACAGTGTCCTGTGTGGCGATGTGGCAATAAGAATAATTGTTTTGATGCCAAAAAGAGCCCAAAAGATTTTACTTTCACAAGTGTAGCAGTATGGCAATTGCCATAATGCTCCACTTGTTTCATGCATATAAATGGCTTTATTATAATTATGTAGAGAGTTTTACAGTTTATATGGACACTGCAATGCAAATAGAACAGAAGAGGAAAAACAGAAGAAGAAAAGAAAAAAAAGAGGAAAGATGAAAGATGAAAGAAAGAGGAGCTAGAAAGGAGACAATGACAAAACATTTTCAGTCTGCTTCATCACCTGCAACGAGATGTAAAAAGAACAGCACAACCGAAAGACATGATACGAGATATACAATAAAGCAACACCTTGAAACTATCGCTAAAGTAGAATTATTTAGTCTGACATGTACTATATGTTACATGAAGATATGAATATGGGCCTTCTGTATGGAAGTCAATCTCTGAGCACCTGGAACCAAGCACCTGCAGCCGTCCGCGAGAGTGCACTTGTGCATATAAATTTATCCATAGAGAAAATGCTCAGTAGTGGTTGTGGAGAGCCGAAGAGGCGCCCCCCCCAGAGCACTGAGTCCAGCGCTGGGAGACCCAAAGCCCCAGACGCCCAAAGAGACCCCAAGAGCGAAGGCACCAAGGAGGAGCCAGCCCAGGAAATCGGACTCCCACCAAGGGAGGAGGAGAGACAGCCCCGAGGAAGTCCCCCAACCACCGCAATGCCGGCATCCCGGGGAGCCGTGGGGATGAGTCCGCGGGCTCCTCCGGCAGCCAGCCACCCTGAAGTGAATCCGGCCCTGGGCCCCAGGGATCTGAGGCCCCAGGGGCGCCCAACCCCCAGACAGGAGCCCCAGCAAGGCCCTGGCTGGCCGGGCCCCGCGGAGAGGCCGCCAGGAATGAGCCAGAAGCCACCTGGGCGTTGAAGCCCTTCTAAAATCCTCTTCCCCCAGACCTGAAGCCCTTCTAAAATCCTCTTCCCCCCATCACAACCCCCGCCCCCCCCTCCGGAGATGTGATCCTCCCCTACATTAACACTCAAACCACTCACCACACAAGCGATAAAAGACATCCAGGCCCAGATCATTCCCACTCCCCCTCCCTCCCCTTCCCCCACTAGCAGAGTGCAAACCCCTGAAGGGGTAAGCATCTGCCATGTATTTATCCAGTTATCCAGTATTTAAAATAAAAGGCCAAATCATCACTTCTCCACTACCATGCCTGGCAGTCATCTTGATGTGTTTTTGCTGTTGCAATGTAGCTGGTTTGTTCATTATGGAAAACAAATATACTTAATAATAATAATAATAATGGAACTTTATTGATCTCACATTGGAGAAATTTATCTCTGCATTCAACCCATCCCCTTGGGAAGCATTGGGCTGCCATCGTGGGGCACTTGGGGAGCAGCGTGGGGTTAAAGGTCTTACTCAGAGACCCGGAGTGGCAGTCTGTTAGCAGGGTTGCCTCTAGAAATGTTTCATAGGGGTGGCCAGATGGGGCCTCTTAAAATCTTGGGGTGGCACAGAGAAACATAATTTCAGGGTTTTATTCAACTGTTTTGGTAAATCTGCCTGTGGAAAACTATCGTAAAGTAAACACCTACTCATATTTTTTGGCTTATTGTGTGATTATTAATGTTACTACTGATCTAATGTGCACAGACATAGACCAGTTAACATTTTGAGTTGAGTGTGTTTTTATTTATGTTTGAAAGAAGTTGTACATTTATTCATTTTCTGAAAACAAAAAATTACTGCTGGTCCAGGAACAGGTAGAACACCTGCTTTCACTGAGTTCTGCCATGCTTCTGTCATCAAAGGTGCTGACTGTCCCTGGTCTGCTGCTGTTTGATGCTGTTCCTCTTCACTGTTCTTTACTAATGCTGGCTCTGTGTCCTCATCATGCTGCTTGATCTGTTTCTCTCCTCCATCCTCCTTCTCTCTCCTCCTCTCTCTTCTCATCATCCTCCTGCTCCTCATGTCTCTTCTCCTCATTCTCCTGCTCCTCCTCTCTCTCCTCCTCATCCTCCTGCTCCTCCTCACTGGTTCTGTTTCTCTCTTTCTCTGCTTCTGCTGTAATTCTCTTCTTAAAATAAGAACAGATGTCTGTGGACTTCCTCTTCATGTCTGAAAATTGACACAAACCATACACAATCACCAACTCATCCAGTTAGCTACATAACTGTCAAAAACATACTAAAAGCTGCTTTAATAGTATAATGTTACAGTTCACATATCCCCCTTTTCTTTCACAAACAGTTTTATATGCTTTCTCAACGTTAAAGAGGGCACGGGCTGAGCTGTAGTTCTCAGAGCGCACAAGAGCACTGTGAGTCTAAAGCACCATCTGTATCGGTAGCTCATTTGCGCATGTGCAAGCAAATATCGGGTAGGGGAGGGGAGAGCAGGAGGACTACAGTGTGCGATAAAGACAGAGAGAGGGGCTGCTTTGCTGGGTGCATAATGGGGTGAAACGCTAAACCGATGCTACTACAATTTACACTGGCCAGTGGGGGGCCAGTGGGGGGGGCCAGGGCATAGCCACCCCCTGGTGGCGCCCTTGTCTGTTGGAGCAACCTTTGCAAAGACATCATGGCAAACACAACCTGTAGACACTGAGATCGAGCTCTTAAGCTTTTTGCAGTTTCTCTGAACATTCCTATTGTTTCCCTACTGCTTCAAATTTTCCACACATCCCAGTTCCCAAGAAACACAGCATCATGTGGTTAAATGACAATGTACCCCCCGACGTCTGTGGTCATCTTATCAATTAACATACTGAAACTGAAGCATATGAAGTGGGTCACCAGAGTCCTAACTTCAGATCAGGTGAGCAGGTTCATCAGGTCAATTAGTTAGGGGAGTGGGGGGCTCTGGTTGGGTGGCCTGTGCAGGGCATGTGGACCCCGATCCCGGGGGGGCTTTTGCTGGGGGTGGTCTGGTCCGGGTGCTGGGTGGGGGGTCGGGCCCGAAGCAGGAATGAGAATTGTTGGTGCGGCGGTGTCGCCGCTCCCCTACCCCCATCCGGATTTTAGGTTCACTTATTGGGTCATCCGATAATCCCGGGACCAACCACCGGTGCCGCCGGGTCTTACCTATTTTGCATACCCAAATGGAAAAGCAAATAACTTAGGAACTGTAAGCCCAAATTACATGTGCAATACATTATTTGAAAGCTAACATCCTCTAGTTTCTGAATATATAAATTAACATTGGGCAAGCAGAACACAAGTAGAACAACCAAGCGGCATCAGTTCAGACATGACTCAAAGTTGTTGTTTTTTTATTCTCTGAAATGTTAGGTCTTGTTGGAACAGCAATAATAAAGACATGCTTGAGAAAAGGCAGGTCTAATTTTATTATTTTATTATTTTTTATTTTTTTCTACATCATGTCAACCACAAATGCAGAAAATTTCAGACATATAGCTACAAATGTTCTAGAGCTGTGGGGCTTTGAACACTGAAGCATTTTGATGGCCACAAAACATTTATGAAGTATATTTTTTCCACTTTTTTTCAGAATCACTGTATATAACAAAACGTAGAATTTTTACACCTATAATAACATAAAAATCTATAAAGGATTGCGAAACTTCTGCTTCTCAAACTAAAACAAGCCCCAGTGCATTTCCTGAGCTGTATTTAAATTTATTTCACCCTTAGGCATTGTAATCAAGCGAAATCAGCATCCAAACTTAAAACAAAAAAAATAGGACCAGCTCCATGCTGTGCACATGGCTCCAGACGCAGCTGTCTGTTTTTCTCTAACCCATGCCTGTTTACACTGTACCTCTTTAAATCCCCTAGGCACATGTAGGCTTGTTTGAAACCTTATTTCATTTGAGATTTTCAGAGACTATATCTGGCTT